TCTCGTTGGAATTGACCGGAGGACACGTTGTTATTATTATTATTATTATTATTATTATTATTATTATTATTATTATTATTATTATTATTATTATTATTATTATTATTATTAAGGTACATATTCAATGGACAGCAGGACCACCTCCCCGCGTGCGGAGGGCGGGCCAGGAGAGAGACCGTGGACGGAAGTGAGGAGCGCGCGAAGGTCACGTGAGAAGCCGAGGCATGACGCTCGCGTCAACGGCGCCATGGCGGTTTCTCGTTCGCCGCTGAATTCCTGCTGGCGGAAGCGGAAGCCAGGTGGCGGCGACGGCGGACATATTCAATGGACAGCAGGACCACCTCCCCGCGTGCGGAGGGCGGGCCAGGAGAGAGACCGTGGACGGAAGTGAGGAGCGCGCGAAGGTCACGTGAGAAGCCGAGGCATGACGCTCGCGTCAACGGCGCCATGGCGGTTTCTCGTTCGCCGCTGAATTCCTGCTGGCGGAAGCGGAAGCCAGGTGGCGGCGACGGCGGTAGCAGCAGCAGCAGCCGTCGCGAGGATGCGGATGGGGAACGTGAGGTGTGAGCGGCCGCGGAGAAGACCCGTTGGGTGTTTCGGCGGAGCCAGGCAGGTCGATCGATCCTAGGAGGTAGAGAGCGATGCGCTTGAAGGGTTTGGTGGTGCTGGCAGTTCTCGGGGAAGCTGAGGACGAGAGCCGTGGGAGTAGCTGACACCTCAGTGAAGCCGGTAGGGACTCCCACGAAGGCGCGTGTTGCTTTCTCAAAGCCTGAGCAGGAAAGAGGAGGCACCCGCGTTTGTGGAAGAGGGCAACGTGGCTGTCACCTGGGCAGCCTTTACACGAAAACAAGCCTCTACGGTGTGGACAGGTGTGTTTGAGAGAGAGGGGGGCAGACAGACAGACGGACGATGGGCTTCTGTGTACCTCAAAAAAGTGCATCAGAGGATCATTTAGGGTGGATTTTAAAAAGTCAGTTCTTTTTAAAAACTTAAATGGATTTAAATCAAAGTCACTTTTTAAAATTTAAATCGCCAAGGAATCCTATTTTTAAATTTTAAATTGTGATTTAAATCAAATTTACCCTTGGGATCATTCCCTCCCCTCACCCAACAGCAAAGCTGTTGTTACAGTACAGCCTTTGTTTGGGGAATAATGTCTCATCGAGATATCAACACTGGTGTTCGAATTGTGTGCTTTGCATAACTTGTGAAGAGTGTGTTTTGGCGAGCAAATAAATGTTTCCTTTTAGAATTTTTTTTCCAAACAGCCGAGGAATAAGGTATTTAGTCATTTGAAAATCCATTTGGCAGTGATACCTTTGTTGGGTGAACTAGAAAGGCACAAAATTATCTTTTAAGTGTTTAAAGAAACCTCTGATATACATAATGTTAAAAAGTAGTCTGATGCTGATTAAAGATTTAATGTAGAAGAAGTTGCAGACATAAAAGCAGCACTGATCAGGTGTTAGAATTGGATTTATTATTATTATTGTATTGTGCACTTATCCAGAGCATTTTTATAGCCACCTTTTTCTGAGAAAGTTGCCAAGGTGCCTCACAAGTGTCATTCATAAAGCAATTTCTCATCACAAATTTATGGTCTAGAATATATGACTTGGAGGAAAAAATTATGGAGCTGGAGAAGGAAAAAAATTACAAGCCAGCCGCTGGTTTTATTTTACAAACCTGAGGTATTAGATTTCAGCTCTATGTTCATTGGTTTTGCTGGAAATAAGAAAGTGCAAGAAAAAAATAGCATTTGAATCTCCATTTTGATAATTTTATTTAAAATTATAATTCTGTGTTGTAATAGTTTCAGCTAGTCTAACTTCTGAACTTTCCCTAAATTTCACTATAAAAGCCCCAAGTGCCCCTTCAGCCTTTATTTAGATCTCAACAATGATGTTTAACAATTTGGATAAAAACTCCTTTACCTTTTTAACACTGTTATGCCCTTTGTGGTTGGCTCTCATATATTTGCCAAACTGAAGCTGAAATATCATCTATCCAAAGCCACCAAATTTGTCTCTGAGTTGACATTTTACTAATTATCCTGTATTGTAGTGATACTGACTGATGATGGTTCATAAAACATAAAAATCCAGTGTAACTTTAAAGCTTGCATATGACAGATCTTGAACCTGCCTGAAATCTTGTTGCACAGTTACACTGACAGTGTAACTTTTGGAAGTGGATTGCCACAAATTAAGAAATCTCAGTAGATGTTTATCTGTTGCTTACTGAGTTATAGACGTTTCTTGCCTTGTGGCAATTTATGTTTAAAAGTTATACCATTTGTGTAACTGCAACAGGATTATACTTCAAAAAATGTTTGAGGCAGAAAAGTGGGACTGTGCAGGGAAATAACATTTGGAATCCTTTGCTAAAGTCTTGCATACCTATTCTGGTATTCCTTATTAATATTTTAATAAGGAAATAATATTTCAATAATGAAATTACGATGAGGTATTCTTTAGCAGAGTCTCACTCAGGTTCATATGAAAACTGAATAATTAGGCGGTGAAGAGGGTTGTTTATGAGCTGTAATGTGAGATTGCTGCAATCATACAGCTCCGATGTGGAACCTTTTCTTAATGGCTTCTCCCTCCCAGCTGTAGCGTTACTAGAAAAATTCTAATGATAGACTCTGAACGGTCGTTAGGAGATATTTGTGCAGTCCAGTGAAATGCTGCTTTGATACCTCCCAAACTGGTGGTGAAATAGACCTAGCTAGTTCTGCTGGTCGATCTTGTTTTTCGTACTATGAGGAACATTTAAATCTAGTTTTCTCCAGAACATCAGGATTACACAGTCTCTTTCTCAACACTTGGCTGGTGCAGAAGGGGTCTCTCTGAGCACTATGCACTAGCCTTGCCCTTTTTTCTGCCTCCTTTCTACCAAATTTCCTATCCTTTGGGCTTAATTGTCACTGTAATAACCTTAGGTACAGAGTAGTTTAGCTTTACTACAAAGTTGAAAAGACACCTGCACATTGCATTCTTCAGAGAAGGCAACTTTGGTGGGCACAGAGGCCAATTTTGACTCTTCCTTTGGACCTGCTATGGACCTCTCAAATATGTTTTGTGTGAGACTGGAAGTAACTAGAAAGTCCCAACATGGAATCAGCACCCTTCCCTAAAGCAAGATCCTGTGCTTTTCTTTTATTGGAGAATCAACACCCTTGGCTTCTAGGAATGTGATTCTTCTTGTTCTGTGTGAAGCTTCTCCCTACTGCAATATGCCTGGCTACAAAACAGGAGTGGGGACTGTATAAAGTATTATCCGCTTCTCTTACAGGGAGATAATTTCATAGCAGTATTGGAGGAACCTACCAAAATACAGTGGTGCCGCGCATAGCAACGATAATCCATTCCGAAAAAATCATCGCTATACAAATTTGTCGCTATGCGGAACAAAAAAGCCCATAGGAATGCATTAAAAACGTTTAATGCGTTCCTATGGGCTTAAAAACTCACCTTATTCAGCCAGGATGGCGGTGCGGTGCCTCAGTCTCCCTGCCGAGGCTGGAGCTGCAAGGGGAGAGAGCAAGAGAGCGCTGAAGCACAGCTGATCGGTGGGGGGTTGTGATGACGGCTTCCCCGCGATCTTCGCAAAACCCTGCCGATCAGCTGTGCTTCGGCGCGCTCTCTCTCCACCCCTCACAGCACAGCTGATTGGCGGGGCCTTTGGGATGATCAGAGGGAAAGCGCTTCCGTGGGATCATCCCAAAGGCCCTGCCAATCAGCTGTGCTTCGGCGCTCTCTCTCTCCACCCCTCACAGCACAGCTGATCGGCGGGGCCTTTGGGATGATCAGAGGGAAGCGCTTCCCCGCGATCATTGCAAAGCGAATTTTCCCCATAGGAGCCACCGCAAAGCGATCGCTCTTGCGATGGCAAAAAGTCCATCACAAAGCGATTTCATCGTAAAATGGAGCGATCGCTATGCGAGGCACCGCTGTAATGTAACCTAGCCTCTGAAATCCATAGAAGCTAGCTAGTAGTAGTAGGTGTGCATGCATACATGAGTCATTTGTGATTTCATTGCCAAATAAAGACAGAGGGTCATCTAATCTAGCATTATGTTTCTAAAAGCAACAAGCCCATTGCCTCTGGAAAGTTCATATGCAGAGTTGCCCTCCAGGTATAGAACCATAGGAAATAGCCTTATTCCAAGTTCAGAGCATTGGACTATCCAACCTAGTATTACCAGCATTGGCTGGCAGCAGCTCTTAAAGGTTTCAGACAGAATCCTTTTCCACCTCTACCGTAAAACACCAGGCGTTGAACCTGGAACCTTCTGTATGTAAACTGTGTTCCCTATCAGTAAGCTGTGGCCCATGTTGTATGTAATCAGCAGCTTACCAACATTTAGAGCCATACATTGCCTATTGCTGCTTTGGATAGCAGGTACACATTATAGATAACTATGATCTGCTCTTCTCCAGATCCAATCAAAATGCATTATGTTGTAACCCCTTCTCCATGTCTCACATGTTCTGTTTCAGATGTGCTGGGAGTAGCTCTTGGGAGACGTGCATGATGATTTGAAGCACCATGCTGATCGCTGCCTACATCGCTTTCGCTTTCCTGTTGGTAATATGCATCAGCCTGGAGTTCTCTGCCTGCCGCTCCAAGTTCACTGGCAGGTCTTGCTCCAACCCAGTCTTCTTGCAGTTCCAACTAAACTATTACCAGGTCTACTTTTTGGCTCTTGCAGCTGATTGGTTGCAAGGACCTTATCTTTACAAACTGTATCAGCACTACCATTTCTTGGAGGCCCAAATTGCCATCATCTATGTCTGTGGCTTTGCTTCTAGTGTGCTGTTTGGGCTGGTCTCCACTTCTTTGGTGGACCGCTTGGGCCGAAAGAAATCTTGCATCCTCTTTTCGTTGACGTACTCCGTCTGCTGCCTCACAAAGCTCTCCTGGGATTATTTCGTTCTTATTGTTGGAAGGATATTAGGGGGGCTCTCCACTGCCTTGCTGTTTTCTGCTTTTGAGGCCTGGTATGTGCATGAACATGTGGAGCGCCATGACTTCCCAGCTGAGTGGATTCCTGTTACTTTTTCCAAGGCAGCCTTTTGGAACAGCATCATTGCTATCGGAGCTGGAGTGGTAGCCAACATCTTTGCTGAATGGCTGGGCTTGGGACCCGTGGCCCCGTTCATGGTCTCCATTCCCCTTCTTATGCTGGCTGGTGTCTTGGCAATGAAGAACTGGGATGAGAATTATGGCAAGAAAAGGGCACTGTCTAGGAATTGCATGGATGGCTTGAAGTGCCTTCTCTCTGACCGCCGGGTCCTGCTTCTGGGTACCATCCAGGCCTTGTTTGAAAGTGTCATCTACATTTTCATCTTCCTCTGGACTCCTGTCCTGGATCCACACAATCCGCCCTTGGGCATTGTCTTCTCTAGTTTCATGGCGGCCAGCATGGTGGGTTCATCGCTGTATCGCATTGCAACCTCCAAGAAGTATCACCTCCAGCCCATGCACATCCTTTCCCTCTCAGTCCTGATGGTCTTCTTCTCTCTCTTCATGCTGACTTTCTCTACCAATCCTGGACAGGAGAACCCTTCAGAATCCTTCTTGGCCTTCCTGCTCATTGAATTGTCCTGTGGGCTCTACTTCCCTTCGATGGGTTTCCTCCGGCAGAAGGTGATCCCTGAGAAAGACCAGGCAGGCGTGATGCACTGGTTCCGTGTCCCGCTCAACCTGTTGGCTTGCCTTGGCTTACTCATCCTCCATGACAGTGACTACAAGACGGGAACCAGGAATATGTTCACGATCTGCTCCGTTATGATGGTGATGGCCCTCCTGGCAGTTGTCAGCCTTTTCACTGTGGTCCGTAACAATGCAGAGCTCAGGTTGCCCAGCCCTGCGGGTCAGACAGAGGGCCCTTCACCAGAGCTCTGATCTTAGAGTTCTTTAAAGCCATTTGTTGGGCATAATGCTTTGGAACAAGCTGGTTGTCATAGCACATCATAATGTTGGCACTGTATATAGGCAAGGACTCTGCAGAGTCCTGTATGTGACTCTGTTGCACATGGGACCTTTCCAGCAAAGATGGCTCAGATCAGACAGCTTGACTGAATTTGTGGCAAGCATAGCTTTCTTTTCAGCACCTTGAAGTTCTTGAGTTTCATGGCATCTTGACTTCTGCAAGCAAAATGTGCGGGGCTGCTTTCTGTCACTCTATCCTGGATAGATGGTGGCAGGTAATGGGTCAGCAAGGATGTGAACCTCTTTTTAGAACATGAGCAGTGAAGTTGATTGACAGGCCTCTTATCAGGACTGAATGTAATCAGTGTCAACCAAATTCTTTGTTGTCAATCCTCCTGTTCTTTTAAAATAAAAACCGATATATATGTAAAGCTTATCTCCTTGCATCAGTACTAATTCTGGAGATTTAACTGCGGCAGTATGTTGATGGCCAGATGCACACATCAAATTCCTATGTTTCTGAAATAACAGGTGTGAGGTTTGTTGCTATGTGCCTTCAAGGTTTTTTCTTTTCTATTATTCCAGGCATATTTTGTTTTTTTAACATCATGATGATAAAAATTTTCCTTCTTGTCTCTTGTTTTCAGATGCCCCCCTTTTTTTCCAGGCAGGTAACCTATAGCCTTCTCAGTCTTGTTAGACTCGCCGCCCCGAGTAGACATTGTCTAGGGGTGTTGTTAGACTACAACTCTCATCAGCTCTGAACAGCACAACCGGGGGGCCAGGGGGGACAGAAGGATTAAGGAAATTGCAGTCCAATAATGTTTTGGAGAGCCAATGTCCACCCCAGTTTACAGGGAACAATTTAACAATTTACAGGGAATCTCTGGTTAGTAGTGAATTTATAAACTAGTATGACATGCCTTACTGCTTCATTTGGGTCTATATTAGAGATGGGCACGAATTGCCGGTTTACTTACCCGCTGGACAGGTGTTTGTCAGTTCCCAGCCTGCCTCCTGCAGTGGGTGGCAACTCACAGGCAGCACCTGGAGAAGGTACGGCAGGTAAGCCAGGGTGCTGCCTCTTGAGTGGATGCCTGCTGGAGGAGGCAGGGCTGGGAACCACTGAATACTTGTTCAACTGGTAGACAAACTGACAAACCAATGAACCGGCAATTTATGCCCATCTCTAATCTATATGATTGCCTGTCTGTTTGCAACAATGGCATTTGTGACAGAACAAGGATGAACAACTACGGCGCAAATTTTGTCACCTCACCAAAAGTTGATAAGCCATATCTCCCCACAGCTGCTGCATCATTGGGATTGCCCTCCCCCAGTTTTCTAGTGATTTGCTGCCAAACCTGATCCAGTTAAGCAGCACTGTATAAGCTTGAGGAGAGGGCCATTCTGCTAATAGTGGTATAAGAAACAATGGGACAGGATCTGTTCAGTTCCTTTGTCGAGCCACAGAGAACTCACTGCTGTTGTGGAGATGATTAAACAAGTTCCGCCTACCCCAGCTGTCTCCCCCCACCCCCGGGAAGTATGTTCCCACATTCCCATCGCAGTCACATATTGAGAAGTGAAACTGGTCAGGACTGCATCTTTACCATAGTGTGTTGCTTTCTACTTTTGGCTGCCTTCGTAGCGTGCCTACCCAGTTAGCATTGCTGTCTGATGGAGAAAGTTGTGCAAGCAGTAATACTTGACAGACCTGAAAAATAAGCCTACATGAGTGCCAGTGGTATTCCTTTTGGAAGGTTCTTTACACCCACACACCTCTACTCCATGTTAGAAATAGTGCTGGCCTTGCCTTAATGCACAGTGATATAATAGTCCACATGTTAGGGCATGATGGTATTGTGTGAAAGGTACCTAAGCAGGTGGATAAAAATCAATGAGTTTTTAAAATTAAATTGATTTAAATCACAATTTAAATTGTTTAAAAATCAATTTTTTAATTTAAATAATCAAAAACTGTAATTTAAAAAAAAATTCAAATTGATTTAAATCAAATCCACCCTGTCTTAAGTGCTTGTGGCATCACCGCCTTGCTGGCATGCTCCAATCGCTTCAAACAAACACCAAGGTCCTCCATATACAGTACAGTTGTACCTAATTTCTAATGTGGGTCTAATCAACATCCTGGTGTGAGGGCCACTCCTGCTGTTAGGCAGAGTAAGGCAATTGCCTCAGGCGGCAGATGCTAGGAACTCATTGAATGGAAAGGGCTGTTTGTCATGAGATCAGCTCTGCACTACCTAAGCAAGCCTTCAGTGGGGTAAAGGATGCTGCCCCATTACCAGTACTGTATTTGAAAAAAAAAATGCTTTAAGCTTTCAGTTGTGTTCTGTTACACACTTGCATGCAAGTAAGACATTAGCCATTTGTTACTTTTTCCTTCTGTTGTTCAGTTGCAGACTGGAGCAAACACTGGTGTTAGGGTCAAGCAGGATGTTAAACTACACCAAGATTCATAGTGTATATTCTAAACTAATAATTTTGATACTTGATCTCTTGCACAGAGATTCCTTGTGCTTTTTTAAAGTTAAAAGTAAAACCAGAGTTGATCTGCTTATCAACTCAAATATTTTAATAAAGTTTAAATAGATATGTACAACTTCCATTGCTAGCAAGCGACACATCTGAGAGTTCCAGCTTGGGAAAGATTTTTTTAAGAACCACTCAAGCACAACAGTCAGAGAGCTCTGCCTTCATTTAAACACAGGTCTATAACTCTTCTTCTTTATAACAGAAAACTGTTTCATGCTAACAGGATTCAGCGTAAACATCAGTGGATGGAATATAGATTTCTTCCTCCAGAAAACCAGCAGCAGGACAGCAGGTGACTCTGAAAAAAACCTTGTGACATTTGCTGAAAACACTCCTCTGAATGCAGGACCTAACACTCATGCATGCTAAGTTGAAAAAAATGTATAATGCTGCTTTCATATTGTTGTAACAGACTTGTATTATACACTGCCTGCAGTAAGAGTCAAAGTGCCTATGCACCTGCCCAGATCCTGTACCCCACATGTTCTCAGTTAAATTTTGGTAAACCAAACATTTCTGGCTTGAAATTCATGGACGGGAACACAAGGGTTGCTTCTTGCGTAAACTTTTTCTTCAGGGCTTCGTCAGGAACCATCACCACTTGCATCCCAGCTGCTAGTGCTGCTTTGACCCCATTGGGTGCATCTTCAAACACAAGGCATTTGGCTTGTGATGCTGGAGGCTCAAATCTCTTGGCACCGATTAAGAAAATATCAGGTTGTGGCTTTCCAGGTTTCACTTCAGGGTCATCGCCCAGCACAATATGATGAAATAAACTAAAGAAGGGTTTGAGGTGGCCTACTTTCAATTTCTAAGAGTCCCAAGCAGAGCTGGTGGCAATTGCTATGGGTATCTTGTGCTGATGTAAATGGTTGGTGAGTTTTTCTACTCCTGGCATCAGGAAAGCTGTTGGAAATATTTCCTTTCTTCTTCAAAATTTCAAGCAGGATTTCTTCAGTGGTTAGGGGGAGGTTAAAGGTTTTTTGAATGATACTGAGGGCATCGACTTCTCTTTTGCCCATAATAGTTTTCTCTTCCTAAGTGAATTTCTTCCCAAAGCAGCCACAGAGATCTTGAAACAGAAGGTTATACTGCATAGCTTTTCAGTATTCAAGGGTGCCATCTATGTCAAAAAGGACATGAGTAACAACAGGCTGTGGTAGCTTTTCACTGGAAGGAGTGGCCATTGTGCTGCACCTACATTTAAACCACAATGAACAACCGTAAAGCTCTAGAGCAACTATGCGGAGTTGGTGGGTTAACCAGCTAGTTGGCAGTGAATGCCCACTGCCATTGCCCTGACAGCCTCTTTGATTCCATATCACTCTGTAAATGCAATTCAGAGTTCCGTTTAACTTAAAGATGTCCCTAGCCATTCCCTTTGGTAGCTCAAAAGGGAGAATCCAAGTTAATCTGCTCAGGCAAAATAACAACTCAGATGTCGGTTGAAAGCAGAGCCTAAAAAGCTTCTTTTAAAAAATAATTCTTGTTTCAAATTACAGTGTTCTAAAGGTAACTCATTTTTACACTTCGCAAGGTTTAAAAAGCAAATTGTTGCCCTGCTCCATGCTTTCCTCTCAAAATTACAGTACTGTACTCCAAAAATGCCTGGAAATGCCCTTTTAAATCCTACATTATTTTTGATAAGAAGTGTTGTTGTTTTCTTTCCTTCCAATCTGCGGTTGGTGATACCCTAAAGGGGGTGAATGGATTATGCTTCCATAAATCTGTTGGTATATTAAGAATGATTTGTTACAGTATGAAGCCATTCTTAATGTCAATCTTTTGCAGACAAAACAGCAACAAAAGATATTGGAAACATCCAGTGGAACCCAATATGAAGGAGGGATGCAGTGTCAAGATATAGAAACATGGCTTTTACTTCCAAACAAGAATCCAGTGCAATTATTTTGTGATCTCTTTCAAGGACAATAACTGAATAATGCCTATAAAGATCTAGGATAATCTGTTTTTAAAGTTCACTAAGGTGTGGGTGGTAAAAATAATTTATTGCCTGAAACAGTTTCAGGATCAATCTAGGAAATAAAAATGATTTTTCTACATCCCAGAGTTTTAGCTTCACCCAGTTATTAGTGACTTGGTTCTCTCCAACACACAAAGAGCCTAGCCCCTTTCCCACCTTCATCATGCTGAGAGTGACCTGTTTGTGAAAGAGAGGTTGATGTCCATATGCAGGAAGCCCACATGAACAATAACCCTGACCCACTGAATAAGGGTAGAGTATCTGTATCGGGATGTGGGTGGCACTGCGGGTTAAACTGCAAAGCCTCTGGGCTGCAAGGTCGAAAGATCAGTTTGAATCCACGCGATGCAGTGAGCTCCCGTCGCTTGTCACAGCTCCTGCCAACCTAGCAGTTTGAAAGCATGTAAAAAATGTGAGTAGATAAATAGGTACCACCACGGTGGGAAGGTAATGGCATTCCGTGTCTAGTCGCGCTGGCCACATGACCACAGAAGATTTACAGCACAGACCAAAACGGTGGCTCTATGGCTTGGAGATGGGGATGAGTTGGACACGACTGCACAATTGTCAAGGGGAACCTTTACCTTTACCTATCTGACTGCATCTCTGAGTGGTGTGAAGAGGCAAATATGGCAAAAGACTGTCCAGCTTGATCCTCCATGATGTTTATGTATGGTGCACATTCTTATTCAGAATATAGGTCCCAGTGGCTTCAGGCTAGGGTAGCCATTGATGGATCCCAAAAAGGAGGACATGGAGGACAAGGGACACAGAAAAAGGAGGAATTCATTGGCAAAAAGGAGGGCATATTGCTTTAAATTGATATGCTAATTTAAGTTGCGTTATGCAAATATAGTCATCCTGTTTGACATCCAACGGTCTAACTACACTGGCTT